TTTCTGAGTAGCTGGAAAGATAGAGGAGATGTAGATGCACCTTCCCATGTGATTATTATGTGCTATTATGGGGTACTGATTTAATAACAGGCCAAATACCGAAAACCGTGATAAAGCGCGTGCAACTCATAGTATGCGTCATGGGACTGGCGGCTTGGCTATTAACAGCATGTCCGATACTGTATTTTATTTACATAGGACAGTGGAAGTTGGTTCATGTAGGTAAGCCCCCAGTATTGGAAGCAACAAAAGTGAGCAACAGAAAAAGTAGAGCCACCATTTACAATGCCATTGTCGTGGCACACAGGCTCGAAAACATCGAGGCATTGTTCGCTGTCGCGGAATACGTCGACATGGCGCCCACGATGTCGGACCCGCGTTTGCTGTGGTTGTGCGCAATCGACATCCGCTCCAGATGTTCCACAATCACAAATGTGAGGAAAAGTCGGTCGGTGAGGCGCAGCCCTCGATCTCTGATCTCGAGAGTCAAGTCTCGCTCCTCCCCAGGTCCAGCGCTAGCGGGGAGCGACCGTGCGACGACAGCGTCGTCCTTCGAGTCGATGAGCTGGGATGTCCACATTCAGATGAGCCCGGTCGAGAAACTGAGCGAACGTTACTCACCAAGAGGCAAGACCCACCCGAGTGTTTCCATCTGTATTTTTCCCCATTGCGAAATCGAAAGCTTCGTATTCTGTCAAAAAATGCATGGCATTCCCTGGTAACTTGCGCCGTTCGTCGCCGATGATGCAGACGTACGTGGTGCCGAAAAAATGTCCATGAGGAATGAATTTATCTATGGGTGTTCGTTGTCCCCCCATGGTTACTACGCCCGACATGAATGACGGAGTCCATTCTATTTTGGCTACAACACCGAGCTCAGTCGCGGTCGCAGTTATAGTCGTCGTCCTCTTGTCTTGGGACTTGGTAGTAACGACGTGATAGCGCAGGGCTGTCTGGTTGTCTTCGTCGAGACTGACGACGGTAGAGTGCAAAGGTTCATTTTGCATGAAAGAGAGCACGAGAGGCATCGTTGCGTTTGCTACTTGGACGCTCAAGTAGTGTATGCCAATCCGACCAGTCCAATTTCAAGGTGCGGGGTATGAGGAGACGTAAGGCGTGCGTTCGAACTATGTATTTCTTCTATCGATGAATGCATCAGAGTACATAAGTTAGAATTGTACGTATACTCTTGGTGCTGAATGGTGGTGTCTCACCTTTCAATGCTAGTCACTAGTGATGCCAGCTGATTGTCAAGTTCCGATGGCACTAATTTTGTGGTAATGGTGGAGTGCGCATTGTGAGCACTTGAGTACGTCTGTATATAAATAAGATCAAAGCAGGTGTCATGCATCATGTAAGGTATCGAGGTGCCAGGATGTGGCAGCCCACTACTGTGTCACAAGGCATGGTTTAGTCCCAGTTCACTGCGCGCAGCGCTGGAGAGGGTCTGGTGGCACTATTGATTTACATATTATGCGATTGGGGGGTCGTCATGTGGGGTCCTGCACTGCAGTGTAAATCCAGTAGATCGGTGTTCTGGGATGCCGTAATAGTGAGGACAGAGACAGAAACACGGCTCCCCTCAGCTTCAAGACTGAATGTCTGCGAGAAAACGAACCGAATGTCATGTAAACCGGAGGAGGAACCTGGAAGACAGTTCACGCCGCAGGGTAACGTGACCCAGGCCGCAGGCGACACCAGAGCCGCCGTGGTGCTGGCACTGACCCGGGCAGCCGATGCCACCCATGCTCCATTGTATTTTCTCAGGGGCGGCACATCGATTTTGGGATTGCTGTAAATTGCATGATAAGTGCTCTCTCGTCAGTACGCCTGATCCTGTCTACTCACAAATCTCCTCTAAATTCTAATGAGACGCGTCAGTCACGTGGGGCGCGTCCTCACGTATGACTGAGCTCTGAGTGCCACCGCCACACTCTTAAATTGCAGACGTCGCCGGATAAATCAGAGGCCCTCTTCACCAGACCTTTGCTCACGTTTACAAGACAATCATGACTTCCTATCTTCGAAGCTGGCTCTTTACCCAAGGCGCCGAGACCGCGCCGCTCCCCAGTCCTGTTACAATTATCCAGTCCCCACCCGACACTGATGGTGACACCGATGACGGCGATACAGAGACCGTACACGGTGGAGACGATGCCGACGATACACCACCATCCTTTCCTGGTCTGAACAGCGCGCAACGTCTTTCTCCGAGCTTGCCTGCTCCGGCTCCTCGCATTTTTACAGATGCTCGGCTAATGCCTCCACCTCCTGTGCCCGCCCTCGCGAATCGGCGTCCTGGTGTTTCCAACAGCAACTCCTTGGCTGTACCACTCACCACCCTCAGGCCACCATCTAAACCCTCCGCCAAACGTGGGAAGGTTGCCCTTGCGCCGGGGCACGGTCCCCTTGATTGGGCGAACCTGAAGAAATCTGGAGAGGATCTAAGAGTGCGCGTCCACATTGTAGTCATGTCTGTATTGCTTATAGCTCCCGCGTTTAGGGTGTCGACACGCTTTTACGCGTTACACCTTCTATGTTGAAGCAGCATAATAAACGGGACGATGCTTGGTCCGCATTTAATGGCAAGATCTACAATATAACACATTATTTATCATATCATCCTGGGGGTGAGAAGGAGTTAATGCGTGTTGCGGGGCGCGATGGCAGTAAACTATTCGGTGAGTGTTATCAAGACTGTTCCTACGGACTGATTCCGATTCAGTATTATTTCGTTAGCATTGACGCACGCGTGGGTGAACCTTGATTATATGCTAGACGGATGTCTCGTTGGATTCCTCGTCCCCGAAGCGTGAGCATAGATGCAGCACATTGCATAGACATGGGACTTTCGCATCTTTGCCCCACTGTTTTTCACATTTCCTTTGCTATGTCTTTCCTAGACGGGAATTATACTTTAGTTTTAAATAGTGTTTGCTGTCCTGGCTTGATACCTTAGTCGCTCTCGGCGGTACCCACGAATGAGTGATGTTATTTAAACCAAGTTCGTACAGGATGGATCTCAATTATGTATAGTCTGACCCTTCTGTAGAACGGTCCACAGGATTCACTGTAGAGTGGAGTCGGTGTATACGCGCAGCAACCGCGCACTTTTCAATTCCTGTAAAATCTTTCGAGAGGCAAATCAACCTAGTGTCGCACCACTACTGATTGCCTGGCCATCTTCCTTCATTAGCAGAATTTATGATACATGAGCTGGATTGTGCAAGTTGCTGTATTATACATAGCATGTCGTAAAGGGACCAGGGTCCAAATGCGCTCTATGGTTGAAAGATGCTAACGATTATCGGCACAGAAGATACGAATATGCAAGCCCATCACAGCGAAAGCGTGTCCTTCCACCGCTCAGACACAGGCTCCCCGCGGAATACCTCGTGCAGTACCTCCCGCACGTCCTCAACGTAAACGAACCGAATGCCGGTCTTGACGCTTTCAGGAACATTTTCCTCGATATCCGGGCGATTCGCCTCTGGTGCGATGATCGTCTTGATCCCGGCACGATGTGCAGCGAGGATCTTCTCCTTCAGCCCACCAACAGGCAGCACCTGGCCCACTAACGATATTTCGCCGGTCATAGCTAGCGTACCATGAATAACCTAGTCGCGAATGCGAGGAAGACAGAACTTACCTATGTCAGGGTTGACTTTGGTTTTGGTGAATAGAGACACGAGAGCAGTCATGATAGCCGTTCCCGCACTAGGTCCCTCCTTCCCGATGCTCCCCTCAGGCATGTGAAGGTGGATATCACGGTCGACTAAGAATTGCTCTTCAGGCGTAGCTGTGATACCCAGATCATACGCATGACTCTTAACCCAGCTCATTGCAATCTGAGCACTTTCCCGAATAACCTCACCCAGTTTACCCGTCAATTGTAAGCCACCCTTGCCGGGCATCGTCTAATGAGGCAATAAGATGAGAAACTGCACGGCAATGATGCAAAGGCACAACGAACCGTAGCTTCAATGGGCATGACTGCTCCAGAACCATTGCCTAGATATCCAAGACCCGTACTTACACCTGGCGGTGGAGGCCTGGCGTACATTCGATCCTTATGATAGATGGGCGGACCAACATACTCCTTAAGATTGTCGGGGGTGATGACGACGTGCACTGTGTCGGGAACCTTCAATGGCTTGCGTTCCACTGTGGTTACCTTACGCTCCTCTCCTTCCTCCTTATTTGTCTTCGGAACGGTGGATCCTGGAGCAGCCGGATCGTTGGGAGGAGGATCTTGTTTTTCGACCGTCTTCTCCCCAGATGAAGCAGGCTGAGAGACAGCCACCTCCTCGGGGAATACATCTTCACCTAAATCGTGGACGAGCTTGAGTGCAGCCTTACGATAGATCTACAATTATGCAGTAGATAGGGTGAGAACGGAGTGCGATCACGCCCACTAGGCCATTACCTTCTCGATATGCTTTTTCAGGTTACGCACTCCGCTCTCGCGGCAGTAATACTTGATGAGCACATCTATCGCAGCAGAATCCAGCTTCACATCCGCGTCCTTGAGACCTGAAGACTCTTTTGCTTGAGGTCCAAGGTACTTGTCTGCAATAACGGCCTTCTCCTCCGAGACATAACCGCTAACCTCAAGCACCTCCATACGATCAAGCAGGGGAGCTGGGATGGTGTCGAGAACATTTGCTACACGAGGTTAACCATTGAGCGGGGTATCGACATAATTTTACAAGGGCTACTCACCAGTGCAGACGAACAGAACTCTAGACAGATCTACAGGAACATCCATGCTAAACCAACACATCAACAAACATCGAATCGGTCATAGGCAATGGACATACTAATGATCCAAGAATGCCGTATTTTGTTCGGGATCTAGCATTTCCAGCAAGGCACTTGCGGGATCTCCGTTGATACCCCGTCCAATCTTATCGACTTCATCAATAAGTACCAGTGGATTCTCCGTCCCAACCCGCTTGAGCGCCTGAATGATCTTGCCTGGCAGTGCACTAAATGAGATACATGAGCAAACACTCATGAACCAGGGCCAATTGAGTAGTCGTACCCAACGTAAGTCCGCCTATGACCCTTGATCTCCGCAACGTCCGTCAAACCACCAACAGAGAAACGGAAAAACTGCCGGTTGAGGGCTCGCGCAATGGATTTGCCGATGGATGTCTTACCAACTCCAGGAGGGCCCGCGAGACAAATGATCTTACCCTGCACCGTGCCCCTTAGCTTACCAACTGCAAGGAACTCCAATATACGGTCCTTCACATCCTTCAAGCCGTAATGGTCTTCGTCGAGGACTTGTTGTGCGTGCGCAATGGAGTAGTTCTCAGGTGAATGCTGCCCCCACGGGATCTGGGTCAACCACTCAAGATAGTTACGCGTGACGTTGGCTTCCGACGCAGACGGCTCGAGGTGCATGAGTTTGTTAAGTTCCTCGTCGAACACTTTGCGAGCAGCCTCGGGCATCTTCAATGAAGCAGCGCGCTCCTTGAACTTCTCGATGAGCTTGTCCTTCCCGTCTGACTCCATACCAAGCTCTTTCTTGATGCCCTTGAGCTGCTCCATGAGGTAATACTCGCGTTGTCGTTTGGCAATCTTGTTATCTACATCTCGCGCAAGCTTGCTCTGCAGCTGTGCATTAATGAGCTCCTTCTTGAGCACAAGCAGTGCCTTGCGCAGACGATCCTCAACGGAGAGACTTTCCAGCACGTCCTGTAACTCGTTCACATCTCCAGTTGAAACGGCAGCAGCGAAGTCCGCAAGCTTATCCGGTTCGTCAAATACATTCGAGGCGACCTGGTTAATAGAGAAGTTCGTGATCTGGTCTCGGAACAGTGGGTTCAGCTGTGCAATATCCTTGAACACTGATACAATCTCTGACATGAAGGCCCGGATGTACTGATCATCCTTGTTGTAGGGCAGAGTCGCGAGGTTCTCGACGTTGACGACCGATATCGCGTAATTCTGGAGGAAGGAGGTTTGGATGGGCGCTAAGGTAGACAGTCAGAGGCAGGGCAAGCTTTAAGTCAATTGTACGTACCCGGTATAACAGTTTCAGGAGGCGGTGTGGGAAGGGACTCGTCTGTGGACTCAACTTTAGCGCTCCCGTCTTTGACCAACTCTGTAATCCTGATTCGCCGGTGCGGATATAACACTGCGGTGAGACCCTCCTCCTTCTCGTCCTCCTTGCCCCCGGCCGTGAATACGCTAGTAATCTGAGCAAAGACTCCGACGGGATGAACCGAATTGATGTCGCTGATAACGTCGCTGTCCGTTTGCTCGTCCTTCAACAGGAACGCACCGAGATATGGTTGTCCGCGACGCATCATCTCCTTAATCGCTGCCACGACGGCAGGGTTGCGGACAACGACAGCTTTATAAAATCCAGGAAACAGAGGGCGACGAGCAATAGGAAGCGCGAGAACCTGAGGGTACTCTTCCGGGACAGACTGCTTTGAAATGGATGTCTGTGGTGTAGGAGGATCTGGTGGTGGAGGTGGAGGTGAATCTGGACTGTCTGGGTTATCACCTGAAGAGGAAGACGACGATGCAGGTGGTGCAGACTCTGATGGTGGTGCCGTGCCATCTTCATTACCGTCCAACTTGACCATCTGAGGACGTGTAGAATCAGCGTCGCCTGATTCGTTAGCCTGCAAAATGCGAGCATGATGTTTGGGGACCACCCATCTTGGCAAATTCAGCGGTCTTGTGGAATGATAGTCAGACACATAGGACGAGTGTAAAGAGCGTCGTGGTCGAAGACTAGTCGACAGTCTGCTCGAAGCAAACTCCAAGTGTAAGCTTGAAGGACCCGGCTCGGGATACGATAAGAATCGCCGACTACATGTCCGTGAGGTAGATGCGGTCGCAGCTCTAAGATTTCCGAATGAAAGGAAATTCATGCACGAATGCAAAGGTAGGCCTTAGTTCAGTACACTTGGGGTCTTATGTAAACAAGGCCAGGATACCCAAGTAATGTTCAGGTTCTCCAGCACGAGTCGCCGAGTTGACGCGAAGGGGGGATAATAGAGAGGCTACGCCGGCCTCAGGAGGTGCAGGTGGAATCTGCACGGCACAGACTTCCATTAGCAACAAGCGAAAACACCTGAGATGGACGAGGGCATACCTGGGCGCGACCTGCTCAAATGAATGGCAATCGCGAGAGCACTGGCAGGAGAGAGAACGCAAACGCGTCACAGAATCTATACGGCTCTGTAAGCGGGCAATTATGTAAGCTAATGACAAATAGAGATCTAATAGCTTATCTTTTGAAAAGCGGGAGTAACTTTCAGTTTCTATGCTATTCCATTAGTCTCTCTACGCTATTTGACAAATTCAGGATGCTTGATCGGGCATATGTGATCGGGGAGGTTGGGGCAACTCCGCGTCTGACGACCTCGCACATCGCACTGAGGGCTGCTTGGACTAGGCGCAAAAGACTCGCATCTACTAAAATACTGCGAGCTTACTTCTCCTGTACGAATCTGAACCCGCTTGCTATTTACACAATCCCCGTGTGTATCACTCGTGTGCGCCGAGAGTTCTTCGAGCCGTCATGGCTCCCAACGCTGAGAGGAACAACGAAAAACTATTTCCAATATTTCGCAGGAACCTCTCAGATGGGGTTTTGAGCACGTACATTGCAACAGCTGATAAGCTGGCAAGCTGGTTAAGCAGAGACAAGGCATACTATCCATATGCGAGGCCGATGGTGAGTGGTCCATGAACTAAGTGACAAAGCTTTGACTGAGCGGAATGTATCATATAAGATCGTTGAACTTCTCGAGGTGTGTCTAGGTTCTGCTTATTTTGTATCACCAAGTGACCTTTCAGACCGCGTATCTCTCACTGCGTCGCGCTAGCGGTTCGGTACACCAACCATTTCATATCTCCAACTGTCCCCAATCTCTGAAGGCATGGGCGGATCCATTCATCGAGATGATGCGGACAGTATTACCCTTTTACTCCCTGTTCGTTGAGCAAAACTTGCAAAGTATTGAATACACCTTCTTTTGCCGCTCTATGTTGACGCTACCCTTAGACAGACTTTGTGCTCTTTTCAAGACTATTGACCTGGATCCAGCAAATATAATACCTTCCGTGGGCACGCCTCCTCCACGTGTGGCTTCCACATCCAGTGCGTCTCAATCACATGCTGTAAAAATGGTGAAGGGTTGGTCTCCTCATCCCATGGCTGCAAGGAAATCTATGTCTGGATCACCGGTAAGCGGTGCTACACCACAATCACTAGATTTCCCCTCTCCGTCCCCTAGCATGGCACCTCAACTTTCGAGCTCTGCGCCCAAACCGAAACCTAAAGCAAAGAAGAAGTTTTCACTTCAAGACGATTTCATCAAAGCTGATCTTGAATGGTTCAAGGATGGACGGCAAGTTGCAGGACAAGAGGGCCAGCCTAGCAGTCATGTACCTATCTCACCTTCGACTACCGTGTTTACCGTCTCCAGGAACTCCGTCTCCGAGTCACAGCCTATCGCAGGTCCGAGTCGTGATACACACGCTGCTGAGATTACCGTTTCTCCAAGAGTGCCTCATACGCTGGAGCCGGAGACCGTCGCCCTCGCACAAGACACTATTCTCGGTGAAAATTCCATCGATGGCGTTACTGGTCAAATGATTCAAGGGAAAAATCAGGGCGGCAAGGAAACGGTACTCGATCTCTCTCCTCTTGCGAAAGCAAAGCCTCGGAAGAAAAAGAAGAAAGGGCCACCTGGGCTGAGGTTCCTTCCAACAGATCCTCTTCCAGGCGCTATTTCGCCTTTGTTGACTACAGCCTCTGCAAGTTCTTTCCAGACAATTACACAGCCGGAAAGCAGCACACTGGACCCGGGAATTATCTCATCTGAATTGCCGCCCTTTGTTCGAGATTCGTCGTCCGAAGATTTTGTCGACCAGTACGGTCATCAAGCTGTCAAAGCCGAGTCAGACTCTGCGCATATGCGAGAAAATGCGCACGCAGTCGGTTCGGTTGATGAAGGCAGGCATAGTCCTCATACTTCATACCCCATCGTAGGCGTACGGGAAAGACAGCTGTCAGGACAAGTCGACAATTCTGCTCCGCCTCATACCGACGAGTCACTACGAAGCAAAACAATCAACGAGCCAATACCACTCGAGACGCAGCCAGAGTTACAGCGAGAAGAGACTAGACAACCCTCTTCTGAGCCGCCATTGATTGCTGATGTAGGTCAGCACGATGCGGATTCCCCGGCGGCCGACAGCAACTCAGTACCAAACATGATACCAGAACCGGAACAACTGAAAGGTGATGTGGAGAAAATTGCGTCTGTGGAAGCACTCGAGCTCGACAAGCACAGCGAGGCTCCCGGACCCCTAGATGACGAAATCATCGCCAACACTCATTCACGGTCGCATTCTCACATATACACGCCTGCAGATGAGGAACAGGGTATCGCAAGCACCGTCGAGCGAGCCACTACTGCGGCTGACCAAGCCCGCACAACGCTTGAGAACTTCCATGTCTCTCCAGACCGGCTTGAAACCGACGCTGTCCCTCATGGCAAGGAGGAGATCTTGGTTGATGATGAAGACGTCCGAGTTAAAGTGCATTCTGCACCTTATTTCTGTGACTTGTTCAGCTGATCACTATCAATAGGGCAATGAAATAGTGACTGAGCCGCTTGGGGGCGGTCCGATACAGGATGGTTCTGCTGAATCTGCTAGTTCTGTTGAATCGGAATCCAAGAATGAGCAAAGCGAGGAACCTCGTCCTGTTTCATGCAAGCGGTCTCGTACTGCCAGCATCTCTGCAGAAGAAGGCCTTCCGCGGCAGAAGCTCAAGATGACGCCTTCCCCGCTCATGACATTTGACGGCGGCGTGGAATCAAACGTGGATGCTACCGTGACAACAACGACTACCGAAGATTTGCGTCCCGCTGTGCTAACCACTGAAAGAGTGCCGACCTCTGAAGAGGACGTGGTTCTGCTTGAGGTTGACAAAGACAGTGCGGATCCTCCATCCGTAACAGCTCCAGAAAATTGCGTGACCGGACAACCGTTGCCGATGGATGTTGACCCACGCACAGCAGTTCTACGAGACGAAACATTCGTTGCAGAACGAGGTAGTGTCATCGAGTCGCCCAGTGTTCAAACCACAGCATTGGATGAGGCCGCCGTCGAGGATCTTGTGAATGGATCCGATACCTATCAGTCAGTTTTGCCAGACGGTGCGACTATCGAGGCCAAAGAACAGTCGAAGTGTTCTATAACTGCAATTGCAGGCACTGCTCACGAGGAACCTCGGCCGGATACCGATATCGCTGTATGCGATTTGTCTGCTATGGAGATTGATGAAGAGCAGAGAGAGCCGGATACCGAGTTGATCGCCACAACTGCGGAGGTGGAAGTTCTTGACATCCGAGCAGAGGCAAAGTCTGTCGAGCAGGGTGGAGTCATCCCGGCTACAAATGTAGACCATGGTGACGCATCACAAGCGACTCAGAGTGCTGTGGCGCACTCATCGCTTCCTGTCCCCACAGAGAACTCCTCCATTTCCTCCACCGCCACAATGTTCAACTGCGACACGAATATGGTCGTACTCAACTGCGCGCGCGGAACGGCCGATGCTGAGATCACCTTCCGGTTCGACATCAGGGATGAGGATGCTACCCGCATCAGTCAATGGGTCTCGCGAGACAATACAACTGAGTAAGTGTAGTCATAAATCTACAGATTCTGTGTACTGAACTGTCCTCACAGTGATGATGTCTCTTCGACAAAATGTGTTAGCTTTGCAATATATCCCTTTAGGCAATGCTTAGAGAAGACGCAGAATGATCCCGAGCTGAACACCTTAGAGAAGATGATCGTCGGTGTCGAACCCCAGTGGCCCAATGATGGCCGCCTCTGGGCAACTCTCGAGAACGCAAACACCTCGCACGCTATCATGCTCTCACCACCTTTTATGGTGAGTTATCAAGTGCTTTGTGAGCACCCAGTCTGCTAAGCCACAACTCTTAGTTCAAGGTTGACGAGATTTATGACATTAGCGCATGGATCACTCCGGGCAAGAATGTTCTCCATCTCCACCAGTTGCGCGACCACTCGGAGTGTGTCTATGTACTCCACCTGCATTGCCCGACAGCGGCTCAGCTCGAGAAGCTGGAGACCATACGAGATGGACACAGGAGTTGGAGACGGTGCTTGGAGGCCTGCAGTACGTTTAAAATACAACCGCCTAAATGGATCTCTAGCCTACCTGTGTCAGATGCTTCATAATTTATGTATTTTTGCTGCAACAGTCAAGTTTCCTTGTTGTGTAGGCATACGTCTTAGATGTATGATTTTGAATCCCGGAAGTTACGCACCTGTGAGTTCTCACTGAAGTTGTACGGCTCAGTGCCCATTAGCGCCCACGATCAGCCGCCTTGCCCGTTGGGGCCGAACGCGCGCTCAAAGTCCGCTACAACCATAGCCTCGTCTCTGCCTGGACCATGTAGGATCGTATCCCATTGTCAGGCCTCTGTTGTAGATCTGAATCTACTCCAATCTGGCTAGTTTCTGTTGTTGACCATGGCCTTATTGACGACCCTCTGCAGGAGCTCTTGTCTTCTGCTACGACCTTCACTGCGACGTGGCGTTGCGTACACGCCTAGGGCCTATAAGTCGCTTTCTGCTGTCCCCAACCCCATACCAGCATCTTTCTTGCGAGGCGGGACATCTAAAGGCATCTATCTTAATCGCGCTGATCTCCCGGATGACGTAGCGGAATGGGATCCAATATTCCTTGGCATAATGGGCTCTCCCGATCCAAAGTATGGTCGTCAACTGAACGGCATGGGCGGCGGAGTCTCAAGTCTGTCTAAAATCTGTGTCGTCGGGGCACCACTAGACACGCAGCGCGCCGCAGGCATCGACCTTGAATACACGTTTGTTCAGGTGGGCATCCGAGACGAGGTGCTGGACTTCTCTGGAAATTGCGGGAACCTCACTAGCATGGTTGGGGTGTTTGCACTTGACGAAGGAATCGTATCCCGTCCTGGTATCATCGACACCCATTCGCGCATACAGACCGCAACTATCAGTGCATTCAACACTAATACTCAGAAGCGTATCAACACGACGTTCCCAGTTTCGCTCGATAGGCAACAGCCTATTGCGGTGCTGGACTTGGAGCAGGAGAATATCGCTGGAGTACATGGACAAGCATCACAGATCGTCTTGGACTTTGTCTCCCCGAGCGGTGCGCGGACGGGCAAGCTCTTGCCGTCCGGCAAGCCTTCTGACTCCTTCACCGTGCCTGGTGCAGGAGTCAACGCCATTTCTATGTCTCTCGTCGATGCGACGAATCCAACTGTCTTCGTCTCGACACAAGACCTACGAAACGTGCTGGGCCAGCCAGACGGGGAGATAGCCTTCAATGACGTCCCTGTTGCATTGGCTGTTGAAGATCTCCGTCGTTTGGGTGCGACGCGCATGGGGTTAGATCCGGAAACGCAGGCCCAGCCAAAGATCGCAATCGTCGACAAACCTCAGGAGAATGACGCTGAAGCAGATATCGTTGTGCACGCTTACTCGATGGGTGTTTTGCATAAAGCCGTTCCAATGACCGTTGGACTCTGTCTCGGTGTTGCTGCGGGGGTGGAAGGCACAGTCCCATGGCTCATAGCGAACTCGAGGAGCTCGATAAAGCGCACGGCATGCAACGGGGAGTCCATGATCAAGATTAGACATCCTGGAGGAGTTGTCGTCGTCGGCTCGGAGATGAAGGATGGCGAGGTCGCAAGTGCGAAGGTGGTCAGAACAGGGCGCCGATTGATGAAGGGCGTCGTATGGTGGTAATCTCAGAAGACATCCTTCGTCAATGTCATGCCAGTACTCGAGGCCTTGTGCTGCATATACACTCTAATGTGGAAGCAAGTTCAAGGACGGAGGGCCTGTCCCAGATAATTGAAAGTCGCTGTGTAGCGTAATTTTGAGTCTCGTTGCTTACTTCATATGTATCTACAGGAAGTACTTTCTGGTCTCTGCAATAACATCTATGTATCACAGAACTGCATCACACGGGTGTTTAGATGTCTATCCTGCATCTTCGCGCGTCGATTCATCGTGTGACTAACACGTTTGTGTCTCTCACTCATCTCTTTCGCTGAACGACACTATTTAAGTTTTGGTCTCTAAATTCCTGCTGTTGGCTCGTGTTTCATTCTGATAAGTCTCTGGTCTAATTGTCTCTGGATAAGGTACTCTCTTATCACTGTGAACCATGTATCCAGACCGTGTCCACGAACTCGGAGCTCCTTCGATCCTGTTGGTCTTGGACTGGAGATAAGGTGTTCCGATGGCGTACCCGTCCTCTGTACTTAAAGTGCAGCCAGGGGCGACCCATTTTCTCGTGCCTTCACCTTGATACCAGTATGGCTACTGCGACCATCGATCCCCCGATGCCGCAGAATTCCCCTGTAACACAGGAGGTTCTACAGCAGACTGCGGCCAAGATTGGCGTGCGGGTACCGCAGGAGCGAGAGGTAGAGTTCACGGAGATGCTGGCAAGTGCGCGGGAGGCCATGGAACAGGTTATGGCGATGGATGGTGCGTAGAGATCCTGCTTAACAGGGAGCCCTACCTAAAAACGTTATATATCAGACTTCTACCCTGAACCTGATGTGGCCAAGTTTCCGCGGACAAATATCTCGTCTGTCTCGACCAACGAAAATCATTTCAATGCGTGGGCAACCAAAGCGACAGTGCAGAACGTGGATAAAGATGAACTTGCTACTGGAATTCTTACGGGAAAGCGGGTAGTTCTTAAGGTACACACGCTTGTAACATCTTACAATTATGCAGAATGACAGTAAATTAACCATCCGTCATATCAGGATAATGTCTGTCTCGCGGGCGTGCCGTGCAACTTCGGTACTGCAGTGTTTTCGGATTGGGTGCCAAGGACGGACGCCACCGTTGTGACGCGTATTCTTGAGGCCGGTGGTACTGTACGTTTAACCCCATATCCTGTCCTTGCAGGTACATAGCCTGACAGATTTATAGATTGTCGGGAAAGCGACCTGCGAGAACTGTCTGTCTCGTGTTTTTCTTTACAGTCGCTATATAGCAATGCTCAATCTCATACATCATCAGTCTCCGCATTTGGCGTCTCAAACACGTCAGCACTGGGACTTGTGGGCAATCCGTACGACAAGTCGCGTTCCGCCGGTGGCTCTAGTTCGGGCTGTGGTGTACTTATTGCCTTAGGCGAAGCTGACCTTGCGATTGGTGGGGACCAAGGAGGTTCCATCCGTCTGGTGAATGCGTGCGATCTTCTCCAATAGAAACACACATACTAACTCTGCATTTTCTAGCCTGCCGCGCATGTCGGTATTGTTGGTCTCAAGCCAACGTTTGGCCTCGTGCCCTACACCGGAATCGTCTCTAATGAGATCACACATGACCACACTGGACCCATGTCCCCTGACGTGCCTTCGAACGCACTTCTGCTCCGTGCAATTGCTGGCGTGGACGGGATTGACGACCGTCAGATCGCAGGCACGCCATTCCGGCACCAGGTCCCGGACTATCCTGCACTACTTAGTGCGGCACGTTCGGCGCATGCTTTGCTCCAGGTGGGTGTTCCGTCTGGCGCTACTGGTCTTGAGCCAGGGACCACGCGGAAGATGCGCATTGGGATCTTAAAGGAAGGTGGAGAAGTGCAGTATATGGACAAAAGGGTCTATGAGTGTGTGGAACGTGCGACTAAGAAATTTCAGGAATTGGGCGCAGAGGTCGTAGAAGTAAGTGTTCCAGAGCATCTGACGGCCTCGTTGATCGGGCGGGCGCAGCGGTATGTTTTGTTCAAAATGAATATTCATTGGTCTGTTGGAGAAATGCTCATACTTATCTTAGGTTCTCCCAGTCGAACAACTTGCTGGGACGAGGAAATGGGCTGAGACAGCTGTATCTAACGGACTTCGTCGAGAAGCTCTTGCCTTGGAACCAGGAAAAGTTTGACAAGGTAATTCCTGTTCAGATGCCGGAAATTTCGGATGCTCACCTAGTCATATAGCTGTTTGTCAACTCGGCGAATATCCTGATCAATGGACTATATGCCGACGATCATTTCCCTCAAGTTAGTTGCCATTTGGTATTGCTTGATTTCACGTCTGACCGACGATTGTTCCAGCTGTATGGAAAGACGCAAAATTTGTTCCGCAAGCTACGCTTCGAATATGATGCAGTTTTGAAGGATGTCGACGTACTCGTCATGCCTACGACGCCGTGGGTCGCAAAAGTCATGCAGGTTAGCTGTCTTCGTATCCGCCAGCTTTCTGGGATCTAACACTGTTATCACCTGTAGCCTCGAGAAGCATCACTCATAGACCACTACAAAGATTACAATGGCCTAGTGAGTAAACCAGCTTCGTAGGATCCACCATTCTACAATCTGTGGCTTGCATTTCAGACATACAATACCCAACCATTCAATAACACTGGTCATCCTGCCCTTTCCATCCCATGTGGAATGCTTCCGCCGCCAGAAGGGCCCGAATCACTGCGTTTGCCGGTCGGGATGCAGCTCGTCGGCAAGTTTTGGGACGAACTTACTCTGTACAAAGCCGCACTTGCATGGAGCGATGCCTTCGACTGGAAGACACTGTGATTGTCCATCGGGGCTATTTCTAAGCTACATGAATTATCTATGTGTAATCGGACTCATTGTACAGATAGGATGTGTTATACTGCTGTTCTCGTTGTCACCTTGTTTAGTTGTCAATGACTTGATGTGCCAAACGACAGACACTACTTTTTAAAGCCACTCGACAGTCTTAAAATGCGTGTCATCGCGCTGTACGAGGTTTATATATGTATAAACTAGGACTCACCGCCGGCGGCTTCGAAGAAATGTCATACGTGACACGGTTGATTCCTTCCACCTCATTCGTGATCCGGGACGAAATCCGCTTGAGCACCTCAGCAGGGAAAACATACCTACATCGACGAATCAGGGCTACGCGTGAGTGGAGTGACGGTATGCTTACCAGTCAGCAGTCATGAAGTCCTCAGACTGGACTGCACGCAATGCAATAACCTAACATCAAATCGGTCAACATACTGCTCAATGAGTCGGAATTCAGTGCGCGCACATACCTGCTCGTATGTCCGCTTGTCTCCCATGACACCAACAGCTTTGACTGGCAACAACACTGCAAACGCCTGGCTAATCTGATCGTACAGCCCTGCCTTGCGAATCTCCTCTATGTAGATGTGGTCTGCGCGCTGCAGGATCTGCACTTGCTCACGCGTGACGGGACCAAGGATGCGGATCGCGAGACCAGGACCGGGGAAGGGATGGCGCTGGACGAGATGTGCTGGAATCGACAGAAGTCGGCCAAGTGCGCGGACCTCGTCTAAGTACGGTAGGAATGGGATCAGTTGGAGCCGAAAGCTGGCGATGTGGATGTTCGCGCACCCTTAAACAATTCTCGGAGCGGCTCGATTAGCTTCAGCTTCATGTCTTTGAGTAAACCACCAACGTTGTGATGCGTCTTGATCGTCGCGCTCGGACCTTTGAAACTAATGCTCTCGATGACATCTGGGTATAGAGTACCTTGTAGGAGCCACTCGATCTTGCCCTTAGCCTCGGAACCGCTCGCTGCCTCTGCTTCGGCGGCGGCTTCAATCTTGGCAGCTTCGTCCTCGAACACATGTATAAACGTGTTACCAATAATCTTACGTTTTTGCTCGGGGTCCTCGACTCCGTTCAGGCGCGAGAGAAATAGTTCGGATGCATCTACCACTGTGAGATTGACGCCCAGATCTTTGTTGAGCATCTCATATACTTGTTGCGCCTCATTGAGCCGGAGGACACCATTGTCAACCATGATGGCATGGAACCTAGAGGTACAGTGACTTAGACAGGGGCAGAACAGGAGGATCAGTCAAAGCATACCTGTCTCCAATGGCCTCGTGCATGAGCTTCGCAGCAACCGTGCTGTCAACACCACCGCTGACCGCTCCGATGACGCGTCCTTTAGGTCCACATATTTGTCTAATACGAGTGATCTCTTTCCCAATAAACTCTTCCTGTGGGCCTGTTCATCAAAACAAGAAATAAAATATTATTTACGTATACGTACCATAGTCCAGTTTGTGCTGCACTTGCAGATGTTCAGAACGAACTTCCCAATCAGTTCCTTCCCTTTAGGAGAGTGGGTCACCTCGGGGTGGAATTGGATACCATAGAACGGTTTCGAGTCGTGCGCGATGGCTGCGTAGGGGGCGGTTTGCGTTCGCCCAATGACATGGAAGTCTGCCGGTATCTGGGATAGCTGGTCCCCGTGCGACATCCATACCTAAGGGATCCACGTAAAGACCAGATCTGACCCAACGTAATACTGGTATTCACCTGCATCTCCTCTCCAAGACCATTCAAGAGAGCATCCACCGAATTGCCGCTCGAACCTACTTTGCTCACTTGGAGCTGGGCAAAACCATACTCCCTGTGGTCGCATTTTGATACTACTCCTTTCATATGCCACGCTATTTCCTACTTGACCGCAGACTTAGATCGATCGAGAAGCTCGACAGAGCTGCTCAAAAAGTAAAACGCACCTGAAGACCGTAGCATATACCAAGGATGGGGACGCCTAAAGTGTAGATAGTAGGATCTGCATGTGGTGCATCCGTATCATATACAGAGTACGGGGATCCAGACAATATGATCCCTAGGAGGCATGGCGAATCAGCACAGCGATCCGATTCGTAAGGGAAGCGATATATCACCTTTGGGTTTAAACTTAAGATCTTGTATTTTCTGGGTGCATGGCATCAACTCTGCATAGACGTTCAACTCTCGACATCTTCTGGTTATTAGATGACTGTACTGTAGATGAGCTTTAGCTACGCTTCAGGAGCAGGCGTGCACGCTCGAACCTGGGATCCAAAGTCAAGGATGAGAATGGTATCGAACTGGTCGTGGATCTCAGCCATATCCCACACTGTGGAACGGGATGCAAATGGTGGCAGCTGAAGAAACGAAACTTGAAACCAGTGGACGCGAGTCGAGGAGGCGCGCGCCCTGCCAGACGCGTAGCGCGTTAAAATTTCCCGTGACTCGATCAGCACGATCGCGCAGCGCGCTCAACTCTCGGATACCGACTGATCGAAGACAGAAAACCAAAATCAAAGTGTAGATTAGACGACCATACCACAAAACAATACATGAGGCGAGAACAACAACAATGCGATAGCGATGCAATGGGTCTAATACAGATTAACTTACAGTACTCAAATCTCATCCATTAACCTGAAACCTTCGTAGAATAGATTTCATGAGGACAAAGGAGGCGCAAATCTTCCTCGCCCTCGTCCTCGGTATCCACCTCGCGAAGGTCCTCGTCCTCGATCGCCCATCTGTATAAATCCACCACGTCCACGGAACTCTGGTGCGAACCCCCCTCTAGACTGACCATGCAGACTTCCTCGTGAGGGTGACGGGAATCCACCCCGTGATCCTTGCTTTCCTCTAGTGCCGTTTACATTGTGCTCGCGCTCACGTGCACTGGGTCCATCGGCGGCGTGTCCATTCGCGGCGGGTGCGCTGGCTTGAACCGGCGGCGTGGAGTCAGTTGCAGGAGCTCCGTTATGAGGTCGGGAGTTGTGAGCTGCTCCTCCACGACCATTCACATCCCCGCGATGGTTCGCATGGGCTCCCCCGCGCCCATTGGCTACTGTGTGTGGGTTCGCTGATAGCGCCCCGCGACCGTTCGCAAATCCTCCACGACCACGGTTGGGGTTCGTCATGATATGCACAGGCACGCCTTGGCTGAAACATACCTTATAAAACATACAAATGTGGAGTACTCGTTGTACATACCTCGCAGGACCAGAGGCACGACGGAACCCGGAAGCCGGCTGCTGACCAGGAGAGGGTTGTATGGCAGGGTGAGGCCCGAATCGGGGCTTGAACGGAGCATTTGGCTGCTGCTGGGCGGGCTCCTTCGGATTCGTAGATGCAACGAACTGAGGATTAGTCAAGTTCAGGCATGACGTGAACTCAACCGTTGAACCCCGGTATTGAGAGCAACTAATCGTGAAACCAGCTCAGCAAACAACCATCAGTTGCATAATCGTTGAAACTCGCCGGTCGCCGAGAGTAGTTCCAGACATGAACGCCGCGTCCCAGACAACGTCCATGGACTTCGCGTTCATGCCGATGACAACTCCTTTGATTGACAGAGGAACACCGCCTGTGTCTTGGACCATCGTGACCCGATCGCCGAGTGCAAAATGCTGATTCTGCAGCCGATAGGTCGCGTGTGAGGGTTTGAGGACAGCCTGTCGTGGAATGCCTTTGACCATCGCTTTCTTGATGGCCGCCGCAGATTTGTGTTCGCTGATACTATCTGCTAGCTGTTCAATCTCCCTGACCGTTTCCTAGACGACATAGATGAGCCCAGAATCTCGGAGGAGTCTCGGAGTAGTATAGACAATACCTTCTTCAGTTGATCGCAGAACAGAGATACGGGCTCAAAGTCTCGGACGCCTTTTGAGTTGAGCCAATTTCGCACTTCCTTGACCTTTGCATCGGCATGAGAACCAGAGAACACGTCGGACGCTTTTAACATGGCTGATGTCGCGGCAGCTCAGGATCCGTCTGTCAAGCCATTCCATCACACTCACCATCGCCAGATCTGTCCAACGAACGCATGACTTCCGGATATTTTTGCTGAATGATGTCACTTGAGTGCGGACCACATGCTTGAGCCATGGAACCGACTGACCTTATACTCGTGGATGAAATCAACCGCCTTCTCGCTGAACTCCCAGTATCTGCCGTCTTTGCGGGAGTAATCAATGACTTTCAAACCTTTCGCCTCAAATTTTAGGCTCAAGCCGAGATTGTTTTTCTGCCCATCGCCGGTGATTACCATGAAACTAGAGGTGATCTTCGAGATCGCCCGTCCAGAAAGCCCAACCATATCAGCAACTTTGAAGGAGGGGAAATACGCATGCGACATTCGGTTCGCCGCAATGCTCTTGAATTTCTCATTCTCAGCCTTCTCTGAGGGGAAGAACTTTGTACGACGTGAGACTGACTCTTCAAGCGCAATATTACGATAGCAGTACGCACTGCAAGAACGACAGAAAGCGTGTCTGTTGCAGTATCAGACACTTGGGCAGGGATGCCATACGCATGCTCGCCCAAGAAGAACACCTTGCTGCCTTCCGGGAATTCTTCCGCAAGAGGAGGAGGGTCTTTCTCAACGAATCGGGGGTCTTCTGACACTACTGCTAACACTGCGAGCTGCACTGCCTGTTCAACTTCCTTGTCTTGGCCCTCGTAGTCCTTCACAAAAGCACCAGTATCTAAACGCTTCAAGCCTGCGATGCATCGTTAGATTCAAACGGGAGTCACGATGCCGACTCGACTGACCCTTCAGCGGCCTGACATGAAGAAGGACATCAATGTTGCCCGCAATCACGCCACAGCGCTTGGAATAGTAGTGCTCAATCTTCTCCGCCTTTGCCTTCCACAGACTCAAACCTTGAGGAGAGTGCGGATTGGAAACCGCCTTTGGAGGCCGGCCCGGTATCATGGGCACCTTCTCATATTTGAACAGGGAATCCGACACCGCCAACACCATTCCCTCCTGCAAAAACGGCCACCCGATAAATATGCGGCGGCCGATCATCTCATTGGCAATGTCCTCGGACTTTCTCCGCTCGTGGGGGTTTTCAATGTGTACGATCATCGATTTGTTGCGACTCTCGGAGCCGTGCACGTTGACGCCGTGGTGTCCAAGAGTCGCTGTGTGGGGAAGGGTCTGGAGAGATGGGAAACCCGCCAACGCTTCGGCACCGAGAAAGACGCCGTCGCATAGACCTTCCACAAGATGTAGCCCGCCTAATGTGGGCAGGTCAAACGGCTCCATCTTGCACATGCATCGATGTAGCGCAGGGAAGAACCCAGGGAGTGAAGATGGATACTCTGTGGGCTCTCCAGAATGGAAGAAGAACTTCATGCTGGAGCCGAACGCGTTTCGGTGTCGTTCATCCTTAGTTAGACGATGTTCCCGAGCTGTGGAACGATATTGAGGTTAATTGACCGAAAATGTAAGGCAGGACAAAAGCATACATCTCATCGCCGAAAGTAGACGGTCCTGGTCGATGAACGGGATCTTGACTATAGCTTCCCAGTCCTGCTTTTTCCCATTCAGGTCTAGTTCGAATTCTTGCGGATAAAAGTCAAGAATTGGCGAATTGACGTCAAACATTAGCTCCTGAGAAGTGATGTCAGCGTCAATCAGACCAGTCTATCACAGATATGTGGTAACATTACCCTATACGCCGGCGGTATGAGCTCCTTGCTCGCTTCTGGAAGGACACCCATCAATTGTTCAAATGGTCGGAATGGTGTTCCCAGGTCAAACTGGAAGCTCATCTGATCTACACCCTTCAAATCTTTAGGGCCCATCAGTATGTAAGCCTCTATTATGACTTGAGATCACGAACCAGAAATTCGGGGAGCGTAATGGTAGTTGTAAAACCAGCTCCAAGATGCAACGCCACTGTAATAGTAGTGCATGACCCACTGCATCCCTTCAATATATCGGTATATGAGCGCCCCAAGTTCTTGGGGATCGTCGTAAGATATCTCAAGTTTGCCCTACGCAGTCTGTGAGCACCAACAAATATCAGATGCAGACGGACATGCCTTGTAGTAGTTCCTCTTCCACTCGTCCATCTTATCCTTTATAGACATCTCATATCGTGCATCGAAATCGCCCTCCTTGTCATCTTCGGCAACCTTTGCCTTCACGTACTTAGCCAGCACACGGTCGACTGCGGCTCTGCTCTCTTCATCATCTTCGTCCTCCCACTCACTGTCATTGCTTTCTCCGTTGGCTTCCGCCTCGCCATTGTCACGCCCATTTTCCTGCGCTTCTGGCAGTGGCTCATCCATCTCGCCGGGAAAGCGCCAAGTCACCAGGTTCTGGTCGTCCTCGTCGTACTCATCCCAAGTAAGCGAGAGATGCAAGTCATCCGCCAGCTTAGTGATAAACAAACGGTCTCGGGCAGGAAATAGGTTGGGCATTGTGAGCCGGGTCCTCCGAGAATGTGCAGGAGAGGATGTGTCGCGGCGCTCCAGCACAAAAGCCTTCACTTGGTCGAAAATTTCCCGTTGTGTCTTGGTGAGAACTAGATGAAGACAAATCAATTCAGCGGCCACAATATCGCAGCAAGCCTGCAACATACTAAGCTTCGACCTCTTCCTCCCTGTCTCCATTTCTTTGACATGTTTCGCTTGCTTCCCCTTGTACCAGTTCAGGTCTGCATACTCCTTCTCAAAAATCTCCCGCTCCCACTCTGCCATCTCGTCCAATATGACCTGCAGCCTCTTCGTGTTGATCACACCACTCTCGTTCAAATATCCATCTAGAGACCGAAATGAGACAATGCCCCGACATGGGCTAGCACCCAAGCGTACCTAACGAAGGAAGAGACTTCTTGTAGACGTCAAACAGCTTCTCGAGCCCGTTCTCGTGGATGTGCAGGTCAGGCAGGTTAGGCAAGAAGTCGTTGCCAACAAACACAGCGAGTAGAATGAAATCGTCAATGATGTGTTCCAGACTATATGAGAACGGCAGCACGGGCTCGATGTCATGAAAAAATTCGAGATCGAGATACTCGCGCATCAGTGTAAGATGCAGTAGATAAAAGTTTATGGACTCGAGACTTGCACTTCCAAGTTAGACATCAGCTGTAAAAGGGCTAGTAAGGACTCACCTCTTGCTCCCTTTACTCCTCGATGCAGGACCAAACTTGACTTCCTCTCGCAACAAACAAAAGTGTGGATCATGGCTCAATAACCCCAGCATGATCAGATCTGCGTCAAGTCCGTACAGACAATGTCGCACGTTAGGGTCGTAGTCCGGCTGCGCCCGCGACAGCCGGATGTACTCCATGATCTTGTGCTCCCCCTCACCGGGCACATCGTGCCCTGAGAGCACGACAGTCACATCGCTCCAGTTCGCATCTTCCGAGATTTTCTTGTTCACAAAATATTGCAGCTGTGCAGACAGCTTCGCCATAAACTCCGTCCCTGTGTGCGATCTGTCATGATGCGGAGGGAAGAGCCGGGTCATGACGCACCTGGTGTAATACAATTGCTATCAAACGCCTTCGTATCCGGGAGCTTCTCTCCCTTACTCTCCGCCTTCTCCCTGACCTCCCTTGCCTCCTTTGCCGTGCGGAATCGCCTGCTCCGCTGCTGATTCATCTTCGCGCGAGGTGCTACGCCATCTATAGCCATGAAGAACAGCTTCTTGGGCTTAATTTTGCCAAATAAATGGTCCACGTATGCAAAGATAGATGTAAATATCTGCTCTTCCGATAGTCGGAAATGCGCATCGCCGTCGTTGGGATGAGAACCTGGCTTTGAATTTAGCTACGCTCCGTCAGAGTGGTAGACATCCTGCGCACAGTTGTGTATGATACCGTTGAAGTCGACATAAAGATTGTCTGCGAGAACGTCAGCCGCATCTTACGCAGAAAGCTCCAGCTGGCCCGTACCAAACTCGGGAATCTTGTTCTCTTGGATCAGCTGTGACGTGAGCGGATATCGCTCTCTGCCGGGAGGTCAAGCAGCTGACTGAGTCATGGACGCAAAACTCACGATATATATCGGAAAAACTACGAGCAATGACAGGTCAGGGCTGATCAACATAAGTAATCGGGGCACTGACCTTTGGAATACCTAGGGAATGTGAGTTTAGCAAGCTGTGTCTGAAAGATGACTCGACGTACCCATGCTGTCCTTCCGTCGCCAACGTCAAGAAAAAGGATAGAACCTAGTGTTACAGAGGTGATGGGGGTAGAGCTCTCACTGACGATGTTGCCAGTCTCCAAGTCGTCCTCGAGGACGCGCGCTTCTACCCGTGACCAGCCACGCGAAGATGGAATATCCAAAAACGGGCATGAGCACGTGGCTTTCAGCGCGCTCCGCTGTCGTTTTCAGGCTGTCTGCCGCTCGTCGCGACTATGCTCCTCTCCCCCACTGGTGCGTCTCTGCTCGACAATGTCGCAGGAGACACATAACTTGCGTACGTGGGGAGTTTGGTGCTTTTTCCACGACCATATCATCGCCCGGCATTGTTTGATCTCGGTGCCAGCGACCGAGGATGAGATTTGTGCGACCGCATGGGATCTGTCTGGATACTTGTTCCTATCGATCTCGAGATTCTCTGTGACTCTGAACACCCGATGATGACCTGACCTGCAAAGGGGCGCAATCGCGATGCTCATCGCTACATCACCCGCCAGACCTGCCAGTGCGGCGCCGGATCTCCTCGGCCGCCAGCACTCGCGCAATCGTGGTCCGTGGAGACTGCTGTGCTGTGGACGACGCACAAGCAGATGCACAGAGGACCCTGACCAGCCTCCACTAGATGTGCGCGAATACGATGTGCGAATATGCAAATGCCTTGCAGACACAAAGAGACCGTCACGTATTCTGCGCAGCTCATGATCAGGCACCATGCAAGGACATGGTGACTGAATCATTACTTATGAAGCCATCTTGCGTCTGCGCGGCCTTCCGTCGCGTCATATGGCAGACCCAGACGTCCTTCAAAGCGTCCATCATTGGCTTG